TCGATTGTGTACGCCTTTGAACAGAACTCCTGCGATACTGCCCATAGCATCGTTTAGCGGATTTCATATGCAGTAAGCATTCGATGGCGCTTTAGATGCTGTCCATCTCATTTCGCAAAAATTTCAACCTATTCTCTTTCCCTTGCTTGGTACTATTCACCCTATGCTCATTGTCAATTTGGTTGATAATTTTTTCTCCAACCGAAATCTGAAAACATAACAGTGAACTTGCTCTCCATAACAGTGAACTTGAGTAGCTGTGGTGGCGGAAATTAATTGAGTCTTTTGAAGAGCATCATGTTTGAATATTTAGGCTGTTTTTATATGCATCGTCATTTCGTTAATCGCGTGCTTGCTTTATGGGCAATGGTCAGCATCAGACGTAAGTTACTTTTGAGACGTTCAAAATAACACTTGACCCTTGGTACTCTCTCAAGGCCATGACCTTAGCATTTTGCCAACCTAAAAGGTTGACTTTTGCACAACAAACGGTTGACCGTGCTCTCGTTGTGCTATCGCCATTTTCACCAGTTGAAGGTTATTTCCCGACATCTATGCACACTATCTAAACCCTTCTATTTTCCTATTCTGCACTTTAAAGGAATCTTCCACGGAAAAAGCTCCGCCCTCATTACCACAGAAAACGATACCTTAAAGGAATCTTCCACGGAAAGAGTGATCATTTTGTCTTGTGTGTAGGATTAGTATTATCGAAACTAACGCTTATGTTCCGTTCTTTTTGCTATGCTCATGAGGCTAGGGGCCTAAGGTATCGTTTTTCTGTGGTAATGGAGGCGGAGCTTTTTCCGTGGAAGATTCCTTTAAGTTGCTAATTTCCTCCTCACTAATGAAGCCTTTTTTAGGATCAGCCTCCTATAGGAGAAGGTAGTAAAGAACACAAAGATCCCGTGGAGAAAATAAGCAAACAAAATCAGAGGAAGCTGCCAGAGAGGGATAGTGACAAGCGGAGAGCGGCATGTGGAACCGAGAAGGTTCAGCAACAGCAAGACTCAACAGTGGACACGGAATACAGTGAATTATAACTTCATGAAACTACGCTTAAAATATGGAACAAAAGAATGTACATATTCGCACTTCTAAACTACTCACATTCCTTAACTTGTTCATGGACGCTTTTAAGTGTATATAGGAGGTCTTTATGTGTTGAAACATGTGACAAAAACTAAAATTGAACAAGACGGGCAGCAAAGTGCTACAAACATGAACAGCTGACCTGCCTCCATGATCACGCGGTAACGATGAGTAGACCACGATTGTTTTTGTGAGTCTAGGCGTCAAATATGGTGTTCGATCACAATTAACACCACACACCACTATTTCCGTCTCAGGCACTTGGAGCGCGTATTCAATCCTTACCAGGACAGTTAGAGCAAGCCTACTACCTCCACTTGATGAAGCACTTCTTTTCCCTGAGTTTTGTACCGAACACAGCAATACCAACTTTTAAGAGGGAGCCGGGTGAGTGAATCAATCCACTTTTACGAGGGAGGAACGGGGAGTGTTTCTTTTTCCAAACGTTGAATGATGAAAAAACGTTTGTCATGGCACCCATTTCCTCATTTACGTTTCTACGTAAACGAGTTCCAGTAGGGTAAAAGATCTTTATGTATATTATGAGTCGATTATGAGGTGCATCAAAAGAAATCACGAAAAAACTCGTCTGCTCAACCTCGTTCGTCTAGCACTACCTTCGATGATGAATGAATGGTAGCGACATAGAAACAACTAGGTAGAGCAAATGATCCTTTGCAATAAAAACTAACTTATTCATGTTTATTTGGCCATGATGGGTAGTTAACGGATAGAACGGTTAACAGAGTAGTCTGGTGATATTGTGGGTTTCGACAATTAAACGCTTATTCACAAAAGATTTATTTTAATCAACAACAACAGACAACCTCAACAAAAATGTTATGTCATCAGTCGCAACAATCAAAAGCTGCAAAAAGTGTGGCAGACCTAGAATTCATCGCAGTGCACATCCTTCAAACATCCAGCTGAACTTGCATTTGAAACGCTTAATTATGATCTCACACTCCTCGGCTGATTTGTAAACCTCTATTTTCGAGCGGATGTCGTGAACGGGCAGAGATTTTTCTTCGCTCGTCTCTACAACTTCGTCATGAGAGAAACCATGTCGAAACCCATTTTCTGCCGTGCTTCCTCGATCTGCAACAAAGAACTTTGAAGGCACGGGTTACGATTGCACTGACGTGTTATTTTGGTGGAAAATTAGACAACGAGTGCGAAGAGGAGTTTCAGAGAACAAAAGCGCTTAGGCGCTACCTTCCACGAGAACCATCTGGAGAAGTCAGGTCAATTTTCGAATGACGGGGGGGGGGGGGGGAAGTGGGCCAAAAAGTGGGATATAAGAGCATGTAAGAGCTAAGCTGAGCTTCGCCTGTCGGGCCACCCACCAGAAGAACGGTTTCTGGAGCAGAAATTAGTAAGTCAGTAGCAAAGCCCAGACTAAAAAATGTGGATGAGTAAAAAAAAATTGCGTTGGTTGAGAGTCAGATCCGGCGAGTCACGTACCAGCTGGGACGGTAGCAGCGTGCTCCATTGAATGAAAGTAATATACTTAAAAACCAAATTCATAATGGGTCAACCACTGCAACCCGCGTATCGCTGCGTTCGGAACGGACCTTGGGCCAAACCTTGTAGAAATTACAGGAGAGGCTCTCGAACGAAATCACCCTTTCAAGTGAGAATGCTATTTTCGTTAACTGTTCACGTAAATCCATTATCTTTTTGTTTACAACCCGGTTTACGAAGCCGTGAGCATGTTTTAAATGCCGTTCCAATAACAGATGTGCCCTGGTTACGTAGCCTATACGAAAGTTGTTGCCTACCTGAAAACATTGCAGTTTGAAACTATTAAGTTATGAAATAAAGTTGGGGGAGGAATCAACATACATCCACGAGGGTGCCTTGCCAAAACGCTAACCAATGTTCGGGCAAATCCACAGAGGCACAAAGAAGGCAGACCGTGTCTATGAAGTTCTGTGAGGCATCCGGAAGGGAAATAACGGCATATACATCCTTTTTCATGCTCAAATATTGCAACTGGTCGCCGTAGTCAAGAGCACACTGCTCGTACTCACGAAGGTAAGATAATATTTCCTCTACAGGAAACGAAGGGATCTGAAAGAGTGACAGCATAGCAATCCCACCTTGAGTCCCAAAAGTTCAAGGGCAGCATTAACATGTTAATTTTGACGCGAACAATCATAGCAAGACCTTGGACAACGTGTCCCGTTACGTAAAATTTCATTCGAAACAACAGGAAGGGCCTTTGAATCTGCACACTCGAGAACAATCTTTCGAATTGTAGGAATCGAATGAAACTTTTCAACTTAACTTTAACGCGGATCGAACAAGTGAGTCGATAACAGCCACGGTATGAGTACGACTGTGTTTATACTCCGAAAAAAGGGCAGCATATTCCTTAATGAAAACCAGTAAAAACATCACTATGAAGAAAATACTTCACGTTTAGCACTCACGTCGAATGCTTCCTTGTATTTTTTATGGTGATAAAAATAAGCAGCTTTGTAACTGATGAGGTCCCTGAAAATCCAATGCTTAGAGGCGAAATTTCTTTGACATTTTTCATGCTATTAAGACTCAGCCGTCAGTTTGGAAAAAAACCAAGTGGGATGGGGACGCTGAGGCTTCAAAAACATGAAAAATGTTTGTTCTTTGTAAACAGTGGCAGCAATATAAAACTGTGTTATTCGGCATTCTACCCAAATTAGCAAATCACTAAACTTGGTTGTGAGCAGCATGGAATCGGGGCTCCCCCACTTTCTTCACGAGGCGCGGCCGCGGCAAACCCGGCCGAGTCGATAGTGCCCGCGAACTGTGTGGGTAAATTTGAAAACGCATCACCACCACAGTTCGCGGGCACTATCGACTCGTCCGCGCTCGCCGCGGCCGCGCCCCAAATCGTGAAGAAAGTGGGGGAGCCGATTTTCTCGATGAGCACTGTTAAGACTTGAAGTTGAATGGAAGACAAAATCCTGATCATATGTAGTACCCCTTGTCTGGGACGATTAACAGACTGAAATTACGTAAACGAGACTTCTCTAAGATTCAGAATAGGTGAATGCGTGGCGCATATCAAAAATTGTTCGCGCTAGTACATTATCATTCAAAAAATTATAACGATTCTTCGATGACCGAATAAAGATGGTCAAGGATGCTCGCTAAACTACTCGACCCAACCTAGCCGTTTCACAAATTCAGAAGACAATTTGTCGGATGGAATAAAATTATTCGCTAGAGCACCTAGGAAATATGATAGTGATCAAGGCAAGAAAAGAATAATGCGAAGATAATGATATTTCTGACCGCAATTTTGATGTGGACTTTAGTCCGTTTTTTTTGGAATCTAAGTTTGTGGATGAATGTTTATATTGTTGTGTTGCAAAGCCAGCGCACTTTAGGTTCCGTGAGTTCGCTTGATAAATCATACCATACACGGGCAAAGCTTCATTGCAGAGGTGCGCGTCGCTAGGATGGAACGCGACTTTTTCGTTTTTGGCAACACGAAGCTTTCGTCGCTGCGCAACCCCCAGGTCCGCTAATGATCGGGATGGACCCGGAGTTTGTAGCGAAAAAAGCTTCGCACTGTTGGAAGTGATAAACCTGCTTTCTCAGCGACCTCCAGCCTTATGAAAAGATTTTGCCAGAGAAATAGACTGATAGGACACGATTAAAAGCAGCTTTATAGGGACGAACATTTTTTACGAAAGACTTAAATTGTTCGCCAACTATCTGGGATCCGCTTTATCTAGACTTAATGAAGCTCTATTGAGAAACCATCCAACATAGTGAATTTCAGCTAAATAATCTTTAGGAGTGCACTGTCTCCCTCGCTCCTTGTTAGTCTCAGCTTCGTCGATCTCATTCACATCTAGGCAAACAATCGATAACATCCTATAGTAATAGTTATTAGAACAGAAAAGATAGTAATTGTATACCAACCCTAACCTAAATTTATGATTTGCGTGAAGCAGGTCACTTCTTTTCCTCTGCCTGCGGCTTCCTCTTCGTCATGCACTCCTTGAATTGCTGTACCTAAATTTAGGTGAATTTTCAATCCTAATCAAGTCTTAGATTTGTAGATCCTTGTATACGCATGCATTATATCACTGTAGACTGACCTGCTCTTGACACTGCCGCCAGTCACTCTTGTCTCCCATACAATCCACCACAGCTAAGTGTTGATCCCAACAACCAGTTCCTCTTTACACTTTATTTTATTAATCTTTCGCGAGCATATAACCAATAGGTAAAATAAAGCATTAGTTCAGACAAATGCCATGAAGCTTTAATGAGCTTACCTGATGAGTGTTTCTACACGATCTTCTTCAAGAGAATCTTTCGCCCAGTGAGACGGAGCACCAGACATGGGTTGCAAAACCTTTTCAACCTTGAGGCTCTCTGGGAAAGCCAACTAATTAGATTGAAACTTAACGTAGAACAATAAGGAATTATGTGTGAAGTGCAGACCTTGGAACGGTGGGAGGGGGAGTTTTAGTACAAAACTCCCAGGCAACCCAGGAGGATGAGGATTTTTCGATTCTCACGAAATGCAAAAACACGTTTGTACGAGAGAATTTGCTTACCTCTTGATCTACCTCGGAGCTCCTTCTCCTCCCCTGGGGCTTAGGCAAAAGACTTCATTGTTCTAACTCATAACTGTCTTCCCACGACACGACAACATACAAGGGAAAGCCTTTTGTGAATTCGAAGGACTCCCTGTCCCAAAATGATCACCGTATCCACACGAACTATTGCGCCAAAACGCCCCTCCTACTTAGTGGAAAAGCATCTGGAACAGGAACAAGCAGATGCTCCTTTGCTTTGCCCTCCCCTTTGCATATGAACATTATTTTTTCCATTCAATTCGCAAATGACACAACCTTCAGATGTATGTCTTGCAGGAGGCTTTGAACACCATGAGAAAAAGAACGAAAAGGGAGGTCTAGAATTTATTTCACACTGTATCCAAATCTACAAGGCTACAATAGCACATTTAATGTCCTTCGTTTTGCTTCATTTCGAAGGGAGGAATCAATCCAGTGGTCTCCGCTCTAGCCTTCTTTTCGGCCTCGATTTCGTCCAGATACGGCTTCAGATACCATGTCTCCTATAAATATAAACGTCTCAGTAGACAAATCGAAAACCAGATGAAATCTATAGTTAACACTCGTTCATCATACGATACACAGAAAAGCTGACATGTCCACTGAAGTCACTTTTCTGTGGGTGCTTCTCGCCGTGGAGTGCTAAGGTGTGGGCGTGCGAGAGCCGCATCTGTAAAATATGCGCATCAGAAGATTGCAATAGAAATGCCGCTAAATCGATCACCACCTTTCTTTGGTCGAAAAGATGAGGCTCCTTCAAGTTGAGACGCCGCAGGGCCTCAGTGACTTCCGGAGCAGGCTCAAAATACGTGTCATGGAACTGCAAGCCATACTCACGACCTAAACGGGCCAAGTACGTAAAGGTTCGCAGAAAAGGCCAGAACAAACTTCCTCTGTTTTGATGATGAATACATATTCCTTAATAACACTGTGCGCCCGTTCCTGCCAAACTGATACTTCACTGTGGAGCCTCGGACACAAAAATAATGGGCTGGGCATAGAAATTGCACAGATTTCTGAGTCACGAGGTGTCGTGACTGCGTAAAAATTAATGTTATCAGAAGAACACCATCCATTGGCTAATGCTTCCTGCTATTTCTTACAATAAACGTCCTCACCCCTCTTCTGGGGGCTCCACTGAGTTATTGAAGTAAATCGTTAAAACTGTTTACAGTTTTTGATTTTCGTCAATCTGCAGTGGTCACAGGTGTTTACACCTATCTTGAACGTGTCGCCGTCACGAGAGCCTGTCCCATCAGTGGGCAAGGCGCTGTGCCATATGTTTATGGAAAACATTTCAGAGTTCACAAAACAGGGGAAGTAACCACCAACATCTGCGACGATTACCACACTAATTATCGCAAATTAGACATTATACGAAGTTATACGACAGCCCATGTTGACTCAGACGGAGAAATGGCTTGCACACGAAACACACTCGTTCTTAGAAAGTCTGTTTATCAAACATAAAACCTTTCTTGCTATCATTAATAACCAATCGTTGACCCAATCAGGAACGAAGATCGAGAAAGAATTAAAGTCTTCATGGTCTCTTTGGAGGCAGTGGCTCTATGTTTTCAGCCAAGAACATTGCAGATAGGTCACAACATGCGCGAAATTTCACCTCGCAAGGGGAATTGACCAATTGCTGACCGGCATACGTCGTAAAAATCGCATGGCCCGTATTTATTCCCATTCGATAATTTATAACCTACAGATAATCCAATAAATAATATAGCTGCGACTTAAACGGTAAAGAGGTAGACCTTTGTGAACCTTAGCATGGACAAGCCAACCGAAGCGAAACTCGCTCTTTTGCAATGAACAGGACATTAATCTGCCCACTCCGATCACCAATTTTTCTTCCAAAATACTGTATATTTTAGGTACTAACTGTAAGGACAAACCTCCCCAGAGGTGATTCCATGCGAACTTGCGCATCCAGTTCACTACAGAATTATTGTACGCAAACTTGACCGACTTACTGGCAGCCATCTGAAAGAGATGTTGAGGAGAAACACGAAAACATGATGATGAGATGACAAAGAACTACGATGGTTGGACGTGTTATTACGAATTAACGTCAACAAGATGTGTGTTATGTAGAAATTTTATACAACAGCAATCACTTGAACGTCAAAATACAATGCGGATTACATAAGTAGGTTAACAAATCTAAATGACATACTAAACAATCATACACATGACAGCTTTCTCCAAACTAAACTAAAATTAGATGTATTTCAAGTTTTGTCGAAATCGAAAAAAAGGGCGGCGCGTTGCCACTGAATAGAACCGATCCACAAAGTTGCCGTCAAATTAAATGCTTAGGACGCAGGTACATAACCCACGCCCTTTGCACTTGTGAATGATGGGAAACATTGATATTGGAGAGAAAGAGTAGGCTTTCCAAAAAGAAACAAAGCGTAAGAGACAATTACTTTTGGTGAATATTGAAGAGGTTATACAAGTACAGAAGTCTCTGACGTCAAGTGCAAAGCCGGCATGAAGTCGCTGAATGGCATCAAAGCGTTTGAGCCCAACAGGGCTGTTGGTTACTTCTTTACTATTAGCATTAGTCAATCGTCCTTGGCCAGCTGGTCGTGAATCAGAGGTCACACCATGTCCACCTCCACCATTATTACTGCTACCAGCGAACGTACTCGGCGGTTCTGGGAACGTCAGTTCTAAAAAAAAATTGAATAGTAAAAGATGACGACAAAAACCGCAAGAAAGCCGTGCTGCTTGAACACCCCTAAAACAGAGTTCACCATACCCACGCTCCAATATTGTATGCTATGTTTAGGTTGCAGATGGCGTAGTCCATGAGGGGGTATTCGTGCAACAGTTTTGATTGAATACAGTACTTCCAGTTTTTAAAGCAGAATAAAGCTCCAAAGCGAACCAATTCGCTGGTCAAAAGAAGATTTGGGCCAGAATTGTTTTATGCTCCCACAATAAAAGAACATCTGCCATGTAATAGATGTCCTGGGCCGTGAGGTAGCATTCTCGACAGGAGGACCCTTCCCAGTTATGGAAACAGAGTAGTAGTAAAGTGATAACAGTATTTAAGTAACAGTTAGAGTAGGTAGGAAACATTCCCGACTGCTTGTCAAGTATTAAGGATGCTCCCTGGGGATTTCAATGGGGGGGGTTATCCCGAGACCGGTGCCATTTACCCGTTTCCTGAGAGTTTTCGGGAGAAGCATATCTTTTTACAGGGAGGGAATCCCTCTCTTGTTCGGGGAAGCATTCCTTACAGGCTTCTCTGAACGCGTCTGCCCGATAAAACCTGCCCAACCCCACGTTACACTTTAGGGTCGGTATATTTGCGGACCTTATATGTGTTCAGAAACCACTACAATTTGAAAACAAAAGTTGCTGCACATGGGGGTAGTTTGCTATTATGGTTGCGACATGTGGTATCGCTGTACAAGGCGCCAGCATAATAATTCATCTGTCACGCCGCGACAGTCATGCCCTAGGTATAAAGGAATCTTTCACGGAAAAAGCTTCCGCCTTCAGCTACCACAGAAATGATACCTTAAAGGACGAATTCACGATCAGAGAGGGAAATCGAATTAGGAAGAATTCACCTGGTTGAGGGACCCGCGGAGCTCCTAAGTGTGCGAACTGAAGCACAATTTGCACAGGAGGAGTTGACCTCGTTGACCTATTAAGGTTTAATCCCGCCGCGGCTGGTCAGTGCACGCCCACCGATCATCTGATCACTCGCCGCAGGTCTATACGTGGTGAGTGATTAGATAGGTGAGAGAGCGTAGCGTTGAAGAGGGCACAGCGATGATAGTCGCATCAATGCTCAAATCAACGGGCAAGGAAGTGGTCCCATTTCTCAGGTTCTGGGCCGTTTCGCATGGTTTTTCCTTCTTTAGTGTACCACTCACCATCGCTAACTTAATTTGAAATGGGTTGCCTTTCCAGCGTGAATTCGTCCTTTAAGGATCTTCCACGAAAGAGTCATTTTGTCTTGTGTGTAGGATTAGTATTATCGAAACTAACGCTTATGTTCCGTTCTTTTTGCTATGCTCATGAGGCTAGGGGCCTAAGGTATCGTCGTTTCTTCTGGGTAATGGAGGCGGAGCTTTTTCCGTGGAAGATTCCTTTAAGCTCTCTTTGAGATAGAAGAATTGGCAATCTCTGATCAGCACTGAAAGATCAATGCCAACTTTATTCGCACAACATAGGGTAATAACAACATTAGTCACAATAAACAAAGGAAAAACAACGCAAAAACTAGCTGCTTCTAAAATAGCAACGTTATTGAAGTTAATGGGATTTGTATGAAGAATAGTGTTACCACCGTTAGTCTACGAGGAGCAACACGAACAGCTCTCCAAATGCTTTGCAGCGTTGCTCTCAAACGCATGCTCAGAGAATCAAAATTTTGTACAACGTCTCTGTTTCGAAAGAAGGGCGCCACAAGTACAACACATCCCTTATCTCTATTGTGCTGTTCCCAGAACCTAACCAGAACCTAACCATAAATGTTGGAATGCACAAAGAGGCACCAGAAACTTATTCTGGAAGAATTTCATAGAGTCCAAAAACAGACCCCAAATACTATTTGGAAATTTTCTGAGATTCTGAATCACGATTAACCCGGATCGCTGACTGTCCCACTACTAGTTTCTGAGAGGTCTCGGAGACCGGACTGAGTTACAGTGAGTGGCCCACCTTACCACTACGTGATAACCCTTTTGTCTCGAAATTCATAGGGTAGTTGAGACGTTTGGTCGGGTAGTCATAATCGCTTCGAAGCCTTTTCTGTAGAAAGGAACCCGCCGAAGAAGCTGGCCGTCAATAAATCTATAGCAAACTCGCGTAGAGTTCAATCAGAAGAAGTCAACAAGTGTACCATGCCGGGTTTGATGTAGGCGGTACAATGGCCCTGCTTCCAAATTTGCTGTATTCTTAAATTCTGCTGTCATTCGATGCGCGACAGGAAGGGTGTGATTACGCGATCGCACGTTTCAAAATTTTTGCAACCCCCTCCCCCTTTAGAGGGATCCTCGACGGACGTCCTAACAACCACTATGAGACTTAAGGAGATCGATTTCAGGCCCTACCAGGGTCGGTCCTACGTTGCTACAAGTAGCAACGGGGGGTCGTACTTTGATGAGTTTTTGGAGGGGGGGGTCGTACATTTTGATGAGTTTGTAGAGGGGGGGTCGTATATTTTGATGAGGTTGTAGAGGGGGGGTCGTACTTGCTTCGATTGTGAGAAGTTGCATGAGGTGAGGAGGAGTGGCGCGGGAGAAAATTTGCCGTTTCAGCGCGCGTATATACCCCCTAGAAAATGAAGCGTGGGATTAAAGGTAGGAGGGGGTAAATTGGTGGAAATTTAGGGAATTTTTACGGTTTCAGAGTGACTATATACCCCCCGCTCGACGGCATTTTTGGAGGAAAAAGTGGGCGGAGTTTTCGTGGGTCGAGTGATACCAGAATGAAATACTATAGCGAGGAATATGGTGGTCGAGGGTCGAGAAGGGGGTCGTACCAAATCCACCTTTGGGGAGGGGGGTCGTAAAAATTTTTCGAAAAGTAGCAACGATAGGACCGACCCTGCTCCTACACCTTACTGTTTACAT